GGGGGGGGGTTGTGTCACTTTCCTTAATTAGGGTAATCTTATTGGCTTCTTAAATTTGCTCGCCCCCTATTGGTTTACGTCTCATCCTTAGCATCATAAATATATGCACATCCATAAATTTCTTTTGTGTATTAATTTGAGTTTACAGTATGGACTACTCCTACTCTTTTTAAGTTTCGTAAGTTTACATAATCTTATTGGGGGAGGGGGTAAACACTCTATGGGGATTTCGTCAGTGAATTATTCGAGAGTGTGAACTTGATTATTTATGTTGGTCCCTTGGTGGTTGCATTTATTCCCCCCCCCCCCCCGACTTCCAATTCTCGGATTTTCTAACACTTTTTTGAGTCAGTAGTAATCATGAGATAAATGCGATACCTAATATTTGGGGGTTTTTAGTGTTTGTTTTTAAACTGTAATTTCAGCAACGTTCTAACAGGTTTACTGCCTGCTAATTTCTATTAAAAAGACTATTTCAAGGTTGGTTATAATAAGATTAAACCGTGCACTAATTTACTCGGTCAGTACTCTGCTACAGTGATTGTTAAGTTTTAAGGAGCTTCTCTTTGGGTTGAGGAAAAATGATTTGTGATCAATGTGTTTTGTCTGTTTTATTTATCTGGATATTTTAGATGAACAACTTTTGCATGAAACTTCCGCGGTGTCTGAACATACTGAAAATCTTTCGGCAACTTTAATAAGTGATTTGCAAATGGGAGAGGTAAGTTTCTTGTATCTATTTAAATGTAGATTTTACCTATCTCTTTTTGCTTTTTGAAGTAGTTTAACTATGAAATGCATTGGACCATTGACTGAAGAGCTCTTTTTTCATTTCACTTGCATTTGAACTTATTTAATGCTCCTATTTTGGTTCACCTGTCACTGCTGTGGTTTTTAAGGACATACCTATTGATAGCCACCAAATATCGATCGAGCACTATTTGCTCAAACACAAATAGGTAGGAAATAAGAGCGGTCTCACCCCAAGGCGTTGGTTATTTTCATTCGGCAGCTATTTTGATTTGCTTGAGTGTGTGTGTGTGTGTGTGTGTGTGTGTATGTATGTGGGGTGTGTGCGTGTGGGTGATCGATCAAGCAATGGGACAAACGATGAATGACAGTTGACCCTGCCATTACCATGACCTCTCTTGATAATTATTTGGGGCCATCGCACTGGTTCACGTTCTATGCGCCAGGAGTCATTAAATCAAGTTCCTGTTAGAAAGCGACTAGGCGCATTAAGGAGGTATATGTAGTAGTAGGGTATGGTTTGGTCACTGGTAGATGGTTCTCGTGACCTCTTGCTTTTTAGACTTACACGCTACCTAATTCTCCATTGGCGTAATTTTGGTATAGAAAGCTTGAAGTATTGCGCGATCCAATCGCTGGAGTAAAGATCTTAATATAGAATGAAGAATTTCTCTTTGCTACTATATACGGGTTATATTGGGGGATAATATACTTTTGCTACCCATATTTCTAAAGAAGTGGAGTTCATGGAAAATTACTTCCCTGTCATTTCATGTCAGTCATTATCGTTTGACTCGAATGATATCGTCACCGCAATGTCAGAAAGAATGCAACTGGGGTGTTACTTGTCTAAGCCCATTGGCAATGCAGGCTCATTGATCAAAAAGTGTAGTTGAGGCCAAGGGGAAAACAAGAATTTACGACCCGCTCAAACTACTCCGGATTGGATTTTCGCAGATTTAGTATTTGGTAGTCTTGTTTGCACAATTCTTAACGGTGATTTTAATGCTACTCAAAGTCACAATATCAGCTGGAGGAATTTGGCTAAGTAATCTCTCATTGTTCGGATGTGAACACGCAACACATATTTATTCCGTGAACAGTCAAAAGAGCAGAACATCTCGGGACATCGCAACAATTAAATGCATTTTTTCCCCTGTAGACTTCAAAAGTACTAGCCGGACCAGGTGACCACCTTGATGCTGAGTGGGAGATGGAGACTGAGCCTACTCTAAGTGCTGCAAAGAAGCCCCATTCCGGAGGGTGAGTTTACTCCAATTATATATATCTTGAAACCAGTCTTTTTTTTCTCGTGCTTATCTCGCTTAACGCTTACCTTCTATTTCCGCTTTCTCTCCCTCCTCTAGCTACGATAAATTTCTGCCTCCATGGTAATGCCTTGTGCTTGATACCCCCTAGTTTAATTATTTTCTCAGGGAATTGTTCCACGTGGTTGCTTTTTATTGCCATGTGAATTCCCCTCCCCCCNCCCCCCCCCCCCCCTCCTCTCCTCGCCCGCTCTTTACACTCCCACTACCATCAGCATTAGCTTACTCTATTCATCACGACTTTTTCCATTAGATTTCAGTCTGATTTAGATTGACCGGAACCCAGTGGCCTCTACTAATAAAATCGCCCTCGAGAAACATGATCGATTCTCACTGCATGATATCCGCACTGCTATTTATTCAGCACTTTTCAACTTCTTCCTCTACCGAACGGAAGCAGTTGCATACGCATTCCATATATCCTAGGTTGATTGCTAATTCAGGATTTACTATAATTAGTTTTTGTTCTCGGCCCAATTATTGCACGCTCTTTCGAATTTGCCGCAGCAGTTCTGTTCTACCTTTTGTCCTGTTTTTTTTATTGGATTAATGTATTTCTTTCGAAAATGATTTTGCTCCTTTTTTGTGTTTATCGATAACGCCTTTCAATTGTATGTGTGCCTGATAGAAGTGCAAATGCATCAGCTAGTACATCTATCCAACCTTCGAGGTTGTTTGAATGTAGTGTCCATGCTAAGTCGCCGCCTATTTGCAATGGCGTTGTTTTCTTTTGCTTTCCTTTATGACCTTGAAGTTTGGTGTTGGTGGGCATAATAAGAATAAATGAAACAGAATTTGCTATGATAGACGTAAAGCTTAAAACTTGGCTTAATGCCCAGTATTTTATTTGATTGCATGGATCATAGCTGATGCTAATGAATTCATAAAAGGTAATTCACGGTATTTCACTTCGGAGCTGTCTTAATTTCAAAGAGTGATTCATTTCGATTAAATGTGAAAGGTCAGTAAGTGAAGAGACATTGTCTTTAAATAGTAAATCTTTGAAAAATATTTTTTTTGATATGGACGAGAAAGATGGCCTGTAGAATTTTATTTCAAGAATTTAAACCTACCTGCTTTTCAGTTTTTTCATTAACTAAAAATTGATAATCCGATTCTTGGCTATAGAGCATTTATAGTTGATTCGGTGGATTCATGACAATACATCTCGCCATTAATTTAACTATGCTATCTAGACTAAGCTTTTTTGAGCTTTGCTATTTTCGTACATACTCCATTTACAGTAGCCAATAATGTACCAACAGGTTGGTACTAATTAAAATGAGTTTAAAGTAACAGAGTTCGTCAGAGTTCAGAGTTCGTGAAAAGGAGTTTCGATATTTATCTTGTTGTCATCCTTGTTAGCTATTCTTTTTCCCGCGCAACGATTTTAAATCCACATCTATTGAAGCCTTTATTTCCATTAACTTGATTAGATAATAGCCACGTAACTCTCGGATGCCCTTGGAGAAGGGAGCGCGTAAATAAGCCGCCTTCCCAATAATGCTTGGAATTTACTTTTCATCCAATCTCTGCATGTTGTGATTTGTTCACAAATCGATGGCATATTTTAACGTTTTGTAGTCTTACTTTGTTCACTTGCATATAATCACACCTGGCCTAGTCCCCTTGCTCTAATTCTCGCCAACGTCTTCTTTCCGCCCAGCTTCCTTGTCTCCTTCCTGGTGGATGCACGTGGTGGTTTGTTGGAGTCGAAACGCTATCCGGGACTGCGTTTCATCATTCCACCCAATGCCTCAATTGGTCCACTTCGCATTATTTGCCGTCTTCTCAGATATCCGTCCTACGCTGTGCAACCACCATTTAATGATGGTGAGGGCTTGGCTTGCCGGTAAGTTCCGTTGCTGTGTTTCCCTAATTTTCCTAATCGTTAGAAATCTACGTCACATCTATAATAGATGTATATCGATCAATTATTTTACCAGGACAGAACTCTGAGATAATATTTTGCATATTTTGATTTTAAACATTCTGCCACTGGACCTGCAAACTGGAATGTGTACGTGGATGGCTTCCAATCAAATCCTCTGTTAATCTATTATTACGAGCGAAGTCTATAGGGAACTACTGTGGAACTTTCATTATTCCTAATTAGTAAACGGTAGCGAAACTTGTTTAATCAATCTAATTTAAGGAACTTTTAAGTTTTTTCTACATCCTCTTTTATCTAAGACGTTGGAAATGATTTCTCCCCAAGTTTTCGGTGGATGTATCACTAAAGACTAACATAAGACATTCGAGCCAATTATCTAGCAAGTTGGGATGAAAAAGTAGATTTAGAAGTCGTGCTTTTCCGTTATCCGGAAGTCTCCCAATTGTATGCCCATTAATCTTCTCTTTATTCAAATGGGCTTTTGCTCGCCTGCTTTGGCAAAAAAAGCGGCAACTATGAACTTGTTATTAATCAAATTCATTATTGTTTCCTCTATGCAACCGGCACAATTGGGAGTAAATTTATGCTTAGTCTTATTGTATATTACAGTTTATCTGTCACATTGTTCCCCGGTGTACACTGTTGGTATAGTAATTTGGGTAGGATTATATGTGGAAGTCGAAGCCGTAGTTATTTGTGCTTGTTTGCATAGAGAACAACTATCAGCTTGACTTGAGAGAGAGAGAGAGAGTAGGAAATACTCATTCATTATGTATGCACATTCAAGCTGAGTATTGACGTTATTCATTCTGCAATTGGCATCCGTTATCTCGAAGTCAGTTTGTTCTCTTCCGTATGATTTGGCTCAACTATGCTACTTAAATTTCATTGTAAGTAGTTTGAGCCTAATCCCTATGGATCAAAATTAATTATACTACTTAAATATTCCCTTTGATAGTTTGCTTAACTGATTTGAAAACGGCACCAATGATCTGAGTATCCATTTTTTAGGTTTGTTTGATCTGTTTTGTATTGATTTAAGATAGTTATGCTACTTAGTTGTTGTTGTAATTCACCGGTTGATAAATGGCTTGCGCCTAATAAACCACTGTAAAGGGGGCCTGGATCTGATCCCATCTTAAGTTTTGGTCCATTTTCGTTCCCTGGCATTACTTAAAATCTGGTATAAGTAGTATAGTTCCCCATGGTGTTAAATTAAGCTGACTATACATGTATCTATTTGTCGAGCAAACATTCAATTAGCATTTCTCACCTTGACGTTAAAATGGCAAGGGGTAGTCCAATTCTCTGAAAATATACTACTTCAATTTGTTAGTAACACATTCGCGTTAAGCAGGATTACCAGAGCTAACGAGTAAAAGAATAAGCAGAATTAAACAATCTACCCTAATAGTAAGTTAGACCGTTGCAATTTTTGACTTCTTTTTGTTTCAATTTTAGTTTGATCGAAGTCGGACCTGTGGGAGTTCATTTCAATTCGCCAATTCTCATTGAAGTACCATATTGTGCCTCTGTACGTAACAATCAGCGCGAAATAATTGTCCTACGCTCAGAAAATGGCGAGATTTGGAAAGAGCATCCAGTTGACCCAACCGATCAAGCTGTTCAAGATTCACTCGGTCCATACTTTTGTAGGTTACATCACTTGTCACCTATGAAAGCGTTAGTTTCAGCTTCATAGACACTTCTCTTTTCCAGATTTTCTCCAGATATTCACGAATTTATTTACCTATTATTGGCAAGGCTTGAACCAATTTTATGAAGGTCAATGAGTTCTATGTCACGTCTTAATACCAGCCTTAATTATCTCAAGGCCGTTGATTAAGGAAGGTACCTACTGCTTTCGGGTTTGGTTGACAATGATAAAGCACTTCAATGTCTTGCTAATTAACTTGGCCACGTATGTTCAGTCTCTGATTGTGGATATATCCATCGATGGGTGCTAAACTTAAATTATATACACACCTTAGTCTTAATGATCTTAATGAAATTGGAAGTTAATTTAATAAGCTTCAATATTAGTTTATTGTAAGTTAAACTATATACTCCTAGTTAAGAAAATTGGCAACTCAATGTTCTCAAATTAAACGGAGCTCTTGATGTTCTAATTTTATTGCTTGCTGCTTACAATTTTGAAAGTTTCAACGCTGGTTTTTCCCAGGCTTTAAGCGATTAAATTCAGACTAAATGAGAAAGTGCGTTTTCTCGCTGCATTTGTTGTGTCTTAGTCGTTATTTTGTCGGTATTTTGTGACTAATCGTAATGTCAATACTGTTATTCTGTTTAATATAAGCGCAACAACATAGACATCTTAAATGTGTTTATTTACGTTGACCTACAAATTGCTTTGATCCCACCGACCATTCCCTGGTCTGCCTACTATTAATTTAATGACCATTGATTTTAAGGTATCAAATAGCGCAAGCCGTTGACACTGCTTGAGGTTGCTAACAGCTTTTCGTTGGGCATTTCATTTAGCCTAATCTATGGCTTATACACTAATTAGTTTGTCGTCTTTATATCACACTGCCTGGGTGATTTGAGGTT